CTTTTTACTGTAGAAAAACTCGAATTCTAAACTCGAATCATAAACTCGAATCAGCAAAATGAACGAGGCCTAACGACATCACCAGCAAGATTAGAAAACACCACTCCCGAACAAGACCACGAAACTCCTGTAACAAAACACCAGCCTAAGATTCCTTCTAAGGCAAGTTCCGGGTCTTTAATCTTTAGATTATTTTCATAAATGTCCTTCGAATTATGTGCTCTATTTTAAAGTGCCTTATAATTTATGATTCAAAACACTCATTGATATATAAAAAATAGTTCAATATGCCTCTTCGGTCCATTTCCATCTATCATGTTAACAGAATTGATGACATGGCAAGTAATTAAAGATTAAATAAATGTATTAAATTCTAATTAAATCCTTAAAAATGATTAAATATTAATAGAAAAAGAAATTAAAAAACTATAATAAAAAACCTAAAAAATCAAGACTTGTTTATTTGCACCTAAATTAAAAAAAAAATTTAAATCAAATTACAACTTTATTCAAGTTTATGTTTTTTTTTTTTTTTGTAAAATTTGAGTTTGAGCTTGAGTTTTAACTTGAGTTTGAGACTAAAATATGAGTTTAAGTTCCTCCTTCAACTCAAGTTCATAAACTCAAACTAAAGTTTACAAATAATATTTTTTATATTCTTAAAAACGCCATAATTTTTTCATTTTAATTCCGATTGAGATGTTTTTTTTTCTATGCATTCACAATGAAGAGATGAATAAAACCTCACTCATATACCCTATTAAAATTTTTCATCACTATTGAGTTTTTATTAAAATACTATTTAAATATAAATTCAAGTTTTGACCCACCCAAACACAAACTCAAATAGATTCTCAATTCAAACCATTACTCAAAATGTGCACATCCAAACATAAACTCAAATTAGAATCTCATACTCAAATACACTTTAACTCAAATTAAGAACTGAACTGAAATCACCTAACTCAAAAAATGTAAGTGTACAAGCCCCAAGTCTTCATCTTGCTTGCTCTTATTTTGCAGACCCAAAAATGAATACTCAAATTAGTTTCCAAAGCCAAACACGTCAACCTCAAATTAGTTTCCAAAGCTAAAATTAAAAACTTTGTTTTAAAAAATAATTGAAAAAACCAAAAACCAAGGCTGTGTTTAACGTTGGTTTTGTTTTTATTTTTCACGTTTTTTGAGGAAAAAAAAATAAAAACGGAAGAAAAACAAGTATTCTTCTTCTTCCTCTTTGCTCTTACTTTGCAGACCCAAAAATAAATACTCAAATGAGTTTCCAAAGCCAAACATGTCAACCTTAAAGCCGTGTAAGTATCGTGCTTCCCATACCTCGCTGCACCAAAGAGCCGAGCCAATAATCCACCGCCCAAGCCCCCCCTTTTCAAATCGCATTGGACCGCCGTCTAATTTGGATCTTAGTGGAGGATCTGAAGTCGCTAGATATGGCAGCGAAGAAGAGGATAACAATGGAGCGTCGTAAGAGGTGGAGAAGACAATGGTTGTGAGAGGAAGAGGACAATTGCATTAAAGCTTAAGGGAGGTTCTCGTTGCTTGCGATGGCGGCATTCCGGTTCTCACATAGTCATCAACAAGTGGAGGAGGTGTGGCTGGGATAGAGTGGCCGTCGGCTGGAAATGTGATGGGCGGCTGGTATTAGGTTTTCCTTTCCAAACAAACTTAAATGAAGGGTTCAATTTAGATACATTATATACCTACTACTAAAGGAGTCACTAAGTTTATTGTTTTTTAAACAGTTGCCGGTCCTTCCTCTCCCTTTGCTTTGGAAAAATTTCAGCTGTATCCTATTTTTGTTTTTACCGTTTTATCTTTGGTTGCTTATTTCTGTTTTAGTTTCTGTTTAGGCATTTTCATCTTATCTTTCAGAATTGAGCTTCATTGAAGCTTTTGAGCTTTCTTTATTCCTCTTACGTTTTCTTTGATTGTTTGGCTTGACTTTCTTCTCTCACATTTTTTTTTTCATTTTTTTTCCTCTGAAGCTTTTATGCTTTGTCTCTCTTTCTTTTGTTATACCTACTACTAAAGGAGGCACCGGTTTATTGTTCTTTGAACAGTGTCCGGTCCTTCCTCTCCCTTTACTTTAGAAAAATTCCGGCCATGTCCTAAATTTTTATTTTTACTGTTTTATCATTGGTTGCTTATTTCTGTTTTGGTTTCTATTTGGGCATTTTCGTCTTATCCTTCAGAATAGAACCTCACTAAGCTTCTGGGCTTTTATTCTCCCTCTTACGTTTTCTTTGATTGTTTGGCTTGACTTTCTTCTCTCACATTTTTTTTTCCATTTTTATATCTTTAATATTATTTTCCAGCTTTAACAAAATGTTTACACCAATAAGAATCCTAAAACTTGGTGAAACACACTTGACTATTCGTGCTTGAATATGTTGTTTATGGAGGAATATAGATTACAAGACAGGATAACTTATCAGTCTTGACATATTATTCGTTGATGAAGAGATAATATAATATAATCTTTTTATATATTATATAATTAGAAATATATAAAAAAAACATATATATTTATTACTCAATATATAACAACTAAAAATCTAATTTACACTTTTACAGCACAAAGCAATACATGAAGTTATCCTATTAAGAGATGTTGACTACATGAGCTAAATAATTAAAGAAAGTAGTATATATGAAATTAATAACTTCTTCATCGATCGGAATAAATCAAGATATAAAATTGTTCCCCATGTGGCAATGCTGCGAATTGCTAGAGCAACAGTTTTTAAACATGTGCTTGAAGACATCCTTGAAATACCTCGACAAAAATTTAATTTTGTCGAATTTGATCTACTTTCTCAAAGAATCGACGTAAATGATGTTCTCTCAGGTTTGTTTATTTTAGTACTTATTTATTTATAGTATTTAATCAATTATTTCTTATTTTATAATAGCTAAAACTAATTGATTACATATGTATTATTTGTATTAGATGTAATTAGTCGACTTATATCGTTCCATGGTATTGAAGAATCAACTATTAGTGATAGAATTATCAAAAGAAGAAGTTTCACAATTTAAAATATAAGGTAAATACAATACAAATTATTGTTATAATAATCAAGTAAAAATATTCATTCATATTTAGATATTTATGATTATGTTTTACATTGTTCTATACAAAGAAGAACAATTTAGTATAATGCTTTGGGGACAAGTGGCAGAGCTTTTCGATGAAATTGTTGTGCGGACAATGACGGAACCAGTTGTTATTGCTTTTACAACAATGGCGGCCAAACAGTACTAAGGTTATTATTTATATTATAATATATTATTCCAATTTCTTATGAAACTAACTATAAATATCTATTTATTACAGGAGGTCTTTATTTATCAAACACATCCGATACTTTTTATTTTTTAGATCCAGAAATTACCGAAACACAAACAATTAAACAAAAATATAACAAAAAATACTCATTTTCCCACTATTGACATATACGTATTTTCTCATTTTCATTTATTCGTATATTTCATATAAAAAAACTTATTTTCATACAGATTTCATCATTCTATTCAGAGTTTAGATTATATTGCTGCATTAACAAGGCGAACAATATCATTAGAAGACCAAAAGACTGCAAACCACATTACTATTGCAGAACTACGAGCATTAGATCCATTCTAAAATTGGGTATAAACTTTATGATTATAATCTATTAAATATAATATTTATATATATTGAATTAAAGTGTTTCTTCCTCTACTTAATAGGAAACAAAGTATACAATTAGAGCAACTATAACTAACCTGAATGCGTACCAAGGATGGTTTTATCATGCCTGCACAAAGTCTTACAGACAAATGCAAGAATCTGGAACATCATGGTGGTGACGGATATCTATCTCCAATGCCACTAATTTGGTAATAAATTCTATTACAAAAAACAAACAAAATAGTTTTCCATTAACAAATACAATAAATATAATTTAATTTTTCTTACATAGGTACAAAATAAATGTATAGATTGAAGATAGCACTGGAAGAATAGACGTTGTAATATTTGGTAAAATAATGCAGTCACTTATTAACAAAACTTGCTCTACACTTACTTACGATGAGGGATACACTGATCGCTACATGATTCCTCCTATTTTAGAAGAAATAAGAGGAATATCAAAAATATTTGTCATACAGTTTCGTACTCGATTAGCTTTTATCGACAAAGTTATTTTAAAGACTTTTAACAATGATCAACCTCAGTTGTACTTACCGCCTATAACAACTGTGTCTTCAAAATAAACAACATCAGTTTCACAGCCAATTCCGCTTGTTTCAGTCCACCGAGAATCTACCTCCTCCATAAGTTCGTCAAAAAAAAAAAAAAACGAATCAGGTAAAATTATGTGCTATATATTATATTAAATATTTTAGTAAATATGAACACAGTTATTAACATCAATTACAATTTAATAATAATTATTTTGTTATTTCTTTTTTTCTTAACTACAGTTCAGACGAAACAACAAGCAAAAATAAAAAGGAATAAATATGTGAATAAACTTTTGTATATTTTTTAATAAGTATGTATATTTTTATTTATAAATATAAACATGTAAATAAATGTGTATATATGTGTTAACTTATAAATATATGTGTTTCCGTACATTTTTTTCATTTAAATTACTATTAATTAAACTATTACATATTCATGTAAGCGGACTGATAATTCACTAATTCAAACTAATGATTGAAATTCAATAGGTATTAATTTCTTTCCATAATAAGTATGTATATTGTAAAATGTATTTTTTTTAACTTTAATAGTGTACCATGCTATCAATCCTGTTAAAATAATAAACAGAAATAGATTAAAGGGTCATATTGAACCATTTTTTATATATCAAAAGATGTTTTAAACCATTTTGATAAATCATGGACGTTTTGAAATAGAGTGCATAATTGGTGGGTATTTATGAAAATAATCCTTAATCTTTCTATTTATTCGTTCACAGTCCAGTCAACCCGTCGCTCACTGTTTCACACTATCTTTATTAAATTCTTGAAACCCTTTCTCTCCGATTAAGCGCTTAATCCGTAAGGTATGATCGCTTAATCACTTAACTCATTATCTCGCTTTCGATTGATCATAATTTCACATTTTTCCATTCTGATGATCACAGTTTAAGTGGGTAATCACGGAGTTAATTAATTTATTATTAATGTGAACATGCCTACTCTTGGTTCTCCTTTGATGAAATTGGTTAATATCGTTTCTTTTACATCTCGTCGGGAAGATTAATTTGTATATCGCTCTGGTCATCTATATAGTTTTTTATTCTGGAAATGTGATTACTGTGGACCGTAGTGATCTGTTTGGTTGCGTAGAAAAAAGAAAGAAACGGAAAGAAAATTGAAAGAAAAAAAGGGAGACTTCTGAAATATTTACGGTTTTGTTTTTATTTGGTTTTGAACGAAAGATTCTGAGAATTTAGCATTTTCACTGGCTGTTTTTCTGGTAATGGCTTAGAAGCAAAATTAGGTATTAGGTTTTTTTTTTTTTTTTTTTTTTTTTTCTTGTAATTAGGTATTAGGTTTTCGTACTTTAATTGGTTGTTCTTGTATGGTTTTCATTTAGAGTTTGTAAATTATTGTTTATCCATTTGTTCTTAGATGTGATTTTAGTTTGTTGATAAAACTTTCATACTACTATTTGGGCTCCCTTTTTTTGTTAAAAAGATTTTTTAGTTCGTAGCTAGTATTTTAGTTTTTCATTTAAGATTTAATAGTTTAGTTTCTTTAATTAGAGCCTTTAGTGTGCTCGTTATTAGTGTGCCGAGGTTTTCTTCTATTTTTAGGCCTCGAGGGTGCCTGTCCATCCAATGGGCCATAAGCATTGTATCGGGGTTGTATGTTTCTCAATTTTTGTTTAAATGTAATTTCCTTTTTTTTTTTAAAAATAATAATTTATACACTATCTTTAAGCGGTGACATCTAGACACACACAATGGTAAGCATTCGACTTTTATCACGTCCTATTAGCATTTAAAAAGAAAAAAAAGTACAGAAAGGAAAATGAAAAAAAATGTTTGTTTGGGTGCTAAGATAAGTTGTATTTTTCTATCTTAATTCTCCAAGATACATAACACATTAATAAATAATGATATTCTCAAGTTGGAAATAGTGTCCAACTTGGAAATAGTGTCAATAACAATAATTTATGGATGTCATGCCATGACCAATAATAACTTAATATACTGTATTCAAATGTATTATTGGAGACTCACAGTTTTGGGTGAAAATGTAAGCAAACATTCTGCCTTGGTGCCTGCATTACCATCTGTTAAATATTGAGGACAAAAATATGTTGTGGCTGGTTCTTAAGGATAGGAGCAATTGCTTAACTTGCTCTTTTTATCTTTTTCTGATAATCTTCAATATTGCGTTGTAGTCCAATGGAGCAAGATCGAGGACGCAGGGGACCTCAGAGAATTGTAAACAGAAACAATAAGATTTATCTGGAACTGAGTGACATAATTAGGGAGGACGCCCTTAAATTTCTTCCTGCCAAATCGCTTTACAGGTTCCAAGGGGTTTGTAGGGAATGGAGGCGCAAGATAGTCTCCCCTTTTTTTACTCACAGCCAGTCAAATACCTTTTGTGACATCTCGGGCTTCTTCTTGCAATCTGGATCAAAACCGCCGTCATTTATTTCCCTTGATAAGAATGCATATGGTGTTCCAGACCCATCTCTGAGTTTCTTGCCCGAGCCAGTTGACATCAGGGCCTCTTCTAATGGGCTGGTTTGCTGTCGAGGTTGCCGTGGGGACAAGCGTTACTACATCTGCAATCCTGTTACCAAACGATGGAAGGAGCTCCCTAAACCAAATTGTGATCATGGTTCTGACCCTGCAGTTGTACTCATCTTTGAACCGTCTTTGCTCAACTTTGCGGCGGAATACAAGCTTATCTGTGCTTTCCCTTCCGTTAATTTTGGCGAAGGATATGAGTTTGAGATGTATACCTCACACGATGGAACTTGGAAATATTTAGATGAAATTTACTTTGGCAGTATAAAGCTCTTGCCAATGTCGGGTGTTTATGTGAATGGCAGCATCTATTGGAAGGGAACACACGGTGAACTTCTTCTGTTTGATCTCACAATTGAGCGCACCCGAGTCCTATATTGTCTCTGCCATACCTTGGGAGTGATGGATGAAAAGCTTTGTTCAACCGGGATTCGTTATCAGGCGCTAACTGTGTCTGAGTTTTCCAACGCTTACACAAACACGATGCTGATGAACAGCGGAGCCAGGACTTGGGAAGAGAAACATCATATTAATCTCGGCCCTTCATTTCTACCTTCTGGTGGTAGAGCAGGCGATATTAATAGAGCTGGGAATGTGCTTTTTGCTAGTGGAAATTGGGTGTTGTTTAAGAATGGGGTACAACTTTGTGCATACGACATGACAACCAAAGAGGTCAAGCGCTTGCGTGATGAGGTCGAGCTTGATATCAGAATTGCGTCGTACGTGAACAGCCTTGTCGAGATCTAGTTTCTATCTAACCATGAAAGGAGGCACTGCGCAGTTTATTAGGTATTAGTGATGGTTCCAAAGTACTTATCCAAACACTTTTTTTTTTTTTTTTTTTTTCCCAATGTGCGACAATTTCGTTTTATGGACCTTCACTGGACCTCTGCATATGGTTGTATATGGATGTATGTTTACTTAATGGTGGTTTCGCAAATATATATATACACACACATACATACATACATATTTCGCTGAGCTGAATGTTATGATATTGCAATGACTAGGCTGGTGAATAATGCCTTTTGTCTTATGCAGCCTTGATAATTATGGGGCAACCTTTGCCAATTGCAATTCACATTATTACTAATAGTAAATACTTCAAATTAGCAGAGTTTATATTCGTTAATCGGCAATCACTTTTTATTGTCACCGAAGGCTTAGGCTTATGTGGTACCAGCTGACCATTCGAAAACTGGGGAGACTAATTCTAAAGGCTCTTTTTTCGTGACGAGTTTCACGTAACATAGGATACCCATGTATAGAATAAAGGGGGGCTCTATGTAATGTTTTTGCTAGGCTCGAGTCCCGAGTTCGAGAAGGTAGGCATGTGGTCATTGGTCATTATATTTCACTAGCATTCTTGTTGCTAGCTATTTCCAAATCCCAAAAGCCATTGGAAACACTTTTTTTTTTTTTTTTTTTTTTTGACATGCTTATGCTTACATTAATATCTTGAAGCTAAGCTACAACCCTAACAAGTTGGTTACCTACTCGATAATCTCAACATCGTCATCATCCACCTTCATCATATATGCATTTGATTTCAGCAGTCTTAATCTTACATGTGCAAACTTTCCCCCTAAATCAGTACTAACACTATTTTTCTTTATACAATGAGGGATCAAACCTGCGCCGTCCTAAATCTAAACCCCATTTCATCTTCTATATCGTTTGACCTAGATATTAGTTTCAAATCAGTGAATAACACATCTTTTGAAGTGACGTACCGTTTAGCAATGCACTAAGATCAACCTCGTACTTTTCTTCCCAACACTCTAATGCCCGTTTGCTAGAAAAATCCTTGGCCAAAACTGTAAGAATCAGCTATCCTGAAACTGAATTTGAGCCATACGAAGTCTTCCCTCCATTGAACCAAAAAAAAAAAAAAAATCATGTTGCTGCCAACACCATTCACTTCCATACACCATTTTTGGTCCTCTTTGAATGTGGATGAACATGAACAATTTCTATTATCATGGTTTGTCCGCCAATATACATTCACATTCACATTCACATTACACCATATCCATGGAAGGAAGAGTTTCAGCCTCTGTACATGGCACAAATTCCGAACTTCCTTCTCCATTTCACTGCATTTGAATCGTTCACTTCACGGCCATAATAATTAAAAGGATTATTATCACTGCAAAATGGGTGCGCCCCCAAAGTTCATGGACAAAGTGAGACTTTAAAATTCAAGAGGTACAAGTATAAATCACTAAAAATTTAATTATGATTTTATCTTCAAACACTACGCATGTGAGACGTTTTCCATCTCTTTTAAATGGAAATTAGGACGGAATGGGCAAAATGGAAGTTAATCAAAGTTTAAGATAGTAAAATGAAGGTTTTCAAAATTCAGACAGCAAAATCAGGTAACCTAAAATTCAGAGGGCATAGATAATAATAATCCTAATTAAAATTATTAGAATGTCGTGGGAAAACACAAACTACCTTGAAGTTGGCCACGAAGTAGTCTTTAGTCTGTTGAAGATGAGCACTGTTGCAGGGTCTTTCAGGTCCATGATCAGCTCTTAATTTAAGGACTTTTCTCCATCTTGTTCCTGAATGGTGGTCTTGAATTCTTTTGAGTAAAGAATATTGGACCGACTTTTATTTGCATATATAGGACAAATGCCCCAATACTACGTCTTTTTGCTACGACTTCTTCATTTTTCCATTAATTTCATGTATAATAAGCCATGTACTCCTCACAGCCCTGACAACAAAGAAGTCCATTGTTGAGGTCCAGTGAAGGGAACCAAGGTTTGGTTTTGCTTTGACAGAAGACTTTTGAGATACCAAAAATTTGGTTGATTTCCCATGTGCGAAGGAGATGATGGATATTTCGAAATTCCACTTTCGAAAAATCGACTTGAATTGGTAAGAGACTTCATGGGAATTGTTTGAGTGCTTTGATTATGCTCTATTCGCAGTTTGTATCTCTTACTTTGTTTATCCGTTTGTTACTAATTGTTTCTTTCGATTCCTTGTCTATGACATGTAGTTGATTGTTTTCATGTGCTTTAATTTCCTTCTTTTTTCTTAGGTCTTTGGAAAAAAAAAAAAAAGGGATAACCAAGTGACAACAAAGCAAAACGACTGAAGAAGTTAATTCCACGTCAAAATTTAGAGGGGAAAGTTCAGGCCAGATCAGACGGCCCGAATGGAAATCCTGGCTCAGTCAGGCCCGATCTTAAAGTCTAATGGGTCTAGGATCGACCCAAAATTTTATAAGGTATTTTTAACTTAAAAAAAAAAAGGATATTCGAGGGCCCGGTGCGGCTCAAATAAGCTTTCAGGTTCAAAATTTTGACCTACCTTGACCTTAGTTCAGTCTGTTTAGTCCAGTCTAAACTTACAGCTTTATCAAAATCTATTGTGGTCAATATGTTGACAAAACCGCCTATCCTTAGTTTTGAGATTAGTAAGTTTTGGTAGAGTTTGCATTTGAGCCTTTGGCTGTAAGGCGATCAGGTTTGGCCTTTACCCCAATCCATTGATGTGTTATTTTTGAGTTACAAATAATATTTGTTATGCTTTTACACATATTAATACTTTCAAAAATATAAACATGTAAGAGTCCCACATTAAAAAAAAAAGAATATCTTATCTCAACTATTCTATATAAAGTACTATTAGACTACATTGACATTCACACCTTGCGAAACTCTCAAATGCGGGGTCAACGTGCTAAAGTAAAAAAAAAAAAAAAAAAAAAAAAAAAAAAGCCAAGAAACGGTTTGATAATGTCATAATTTAGGTTCTGAGAATAGAATAAAGAACTCTTTAGTTTGAGAGAATTATCTTGAAATACCACAAACACTGAACATGTCTCTCAGTTCACTCTTTAAAGCTTAATTAGATCTCTATGTAGGCTCAAGTATGCTTTTGAACAACAACACGCCGTGACATCCAAAAATGAAGACAAAGACATCAATTCTTCGAACCAATAAAAATAAGCCACAAAAATGCTACATTCCACGTTAGTAGTTTTGCACTATTTCAACCTAATAAATGATATTTTTATCTATTTGAAAATAAAATGACATGTTTTATAAATTATATAAATAAAATTTTGTTTGCACAAACCTCGTGTTGTTTTCTTATATTTTTTTATTGTTTAAGAGTGTGTTTAGTAAGAGGGAGAGATGGATGGAGGAAGAGGGGTAAAAGGAAAACTCCAACTTATTGTTTGATTGGAGGGAGAGGAGGAAAGAGGGAAGAGGTGGAGGGGGGCTCTCTCCCTTTAAACGGACCCACTGGTTTGTATCATTTCTCTCATGGACGAATTCATGCAATCCACCAATTAAAGGTAAAAAAAGACTAATTTATTCTTCAAAACATTTAGTATGACATGATAAAAATGGCAATACAATAATTAAACAAATATTCATTCATAATTTCATAACTAAACATCCTTTTAACTCTGTCTTCCCTTACCAAATAACACAAATGATTATCATAATATTCTTCCATCCGTCACATTTTCCATCCCTCCAACTATCTCCATCTATCCTACCAAATATAGCCTAAGCTTTGTGCCCTTTTTTTCCTTGATATTTATGTTTGTAACTAAAAACTTAAATCAACATGTCGCTGTAGTATTTATCTAAGTGACATGTCGTTTTAAGATTAGCACTACGCGATCTTTTTTTTGTTAGTTATTTAAATCAGTACATCAAAGTTAATAGTAGAATTGACTGAGTAATTATTCTTTAATGAAAATCAAATTGTAGTACCTTCTAATATGTGATCGCCCTTATTTGTTTCATAGATTTAAATTACTGTTTAATTTTTTTTTTTTGCTAAAGTAATTTAAATTTCTGTTTAAAATTTTCTATTTAAATCTATGAGTCAAACGGGCATTAAATTTGGGTTAGAGCTCAAAAGTCTCTAAACTAGACAATACACTTCTTGTAGTAGTGTCGTCTGGTGCAAACATCAAACAACGATAACTATTAATTCATTATTTAACACGAGTACAATCTACTATTCTAATCCAATACGCTTTTAGCAGCATGATAAGTATGACATGACAATTCAGTTATGGCATTCGCCTACAAATGACAATCCCAAACGACTTCACGAAGCATCTGAGTGAGTCTTATTACACTTAGACGTCTAAATTTCAACCTAAGAGGAGCTCAAGTGCTTGGAGAGCCTAGAATTTAGAAATTTGCTTCCTATTTGGTGCACAGGTCCGATACAATTAGCGGGGCTCATCCCAAATTCTCATTGACTAACAAATAAAAAAAAAAATTACGTCTAAATTTCAAGCTGAAATTTTATTATTTCCCATCTAATATTTCCATGTTGTTTTATATATATTGTACAACATTTTTGTTACTGAATACTGATGATGATATATTAATCCATCTTAAGGTGCATTGTCTAAATAGTTAGGTATTTTGTTAGTTGGTTTGTTTTTGGTACGTTTCTGCAAAAATTCAAAAACATGTAAACAAAGATATTTTTAGTAACTGGTGTTTATAGAGGAGGTAAAAATGATTTTGACTGATTGATTGTTCTAAATATGGAATGATTTGCTAGGGAAATCAGGATTTTGGCAAGATTATTGTAGAAAATAATTGAGAGATTTGATTGCCTTGAGTTATCTTGGTGATTCTAGCAGATTTGAGGTAGAATCTGTTTTAGGTAAAAATATTTGATTGATTGAGTGCAAGAAAGTTGAAAGGAATTGATTTATATGTTATCTTTCTCATGATTTCATGTTGGTTTAAAAGCCAAAGTTGGATTCGGATTAGAGTTAAAAAAGGCATAAGACCAACTTTGATATATATACATGAGATATATATATGTGAATGTATGTGTACGTAAAGTGAGGTGTGTCCGTGGAGTGATGTGCCCATGAGAGTGAATAATGTGTAGTTTATTAGGATTATAAGTGCTGTAAATAGTACTCAAAGCCATTCATTTCCTGGGCTTCTTTTTACATAATATTTTGAGAAATTTCTATTATTATTCTTTAAGAGAAGAAGTAGTTGTCTTCAGAGAAGACGTTTGCAGAGATGAAGGAAGTTCAACCAATCATCGTTCTTCAAGAGAAAGCACATTATTAATCAGAGAGAGTTTGCCGTGCAGTTTGAAAATGTGTGATACCGCTAAACAATACCATTGAAAAGATTCTTTATAGCAACGTCATGATAAAAAAAAAGAGTCTTTAAGTGAATAAATTTGATTAGTGATTGTAAGTCTTTGAGATTTAGTGATTTGTTTAATATCTAAACGTGACCTATTAATATAAATGTACACACCAAACCACGATACCAACCTCTAATGTTCTTTACATTCTATCTTATTTTCTTGTTTGGTTAACCTACGTTTCCGCATTAAAAAACACAATTAATCATCTATGTTTCATAAAATGTTACAACACTCTTTAAATCACCTGCCAAAAAAAAAAATCTTTCATAAATCTAATTGTCAAATTAATTAAAAAAGTATTAATAATTAGCCGTAAGCTTATAACTTCACGGTTTTATACAATCCCAATAATGTTTCTCGAGGTCCACTCTCAACACACTTCCGCCATGGAAGCTCCTGTGAGAATATTCTCCAACACGACAGTACTCAGCCTCAACCGCCGCCTATTCGCCAAAACGACGCCGTCCTCCGTCGTTTTCCCTCGCAAGCTTCAGCGGCCGCCGAAACCCCCAATCTCTCGCGCCTCATTCTCTCCCCTCTGTCGTTCACCGGCATTCCCTCCTTCGTACCCAAACCCTTTCAAACACTGCCTTCCGTTCTCGTCGCTAAACCCAAGAAACCACTCCAATTCGCCGATTTCGCCCTCGAACGACGCCGTCTTGAACTGGAGCCGAGCGTCGCCGGCGGTCGCCGCGAATGGAGGCGACGGTTTCGGGATCGGTGACCACCGTGAGGTGACGGTGGTTCTCCTCGGGTGGCTGGGGGCGAAGACGAAGCACCTGAAGAGGTACGTCGAGTGGTACAACTCCAGGGGGTTTCACGCGGTGACGTTCGTGAGCGATGTTGGAGAGATTCTGTGGTTCGATTTGGGTCGGAGAGTGGAGAAGAGGGTATCGGCGCTGGCCGGCGAGCTTATTTCGTGGCTTTCCGTGGGTGGATCGGACGGTAGAGAACGTTGCTTGGTGTTTCATACTTTTAGCAATACGGGTTGGTTTGTGTAGGTACTCTTTTGTGTGCTCTGCGTTTGGTTCGAAGAGAGAGAAATTGAAAACCTATTCATTTTTTTTCAATGAATTTTTTTTTTTAAATTTTGCAGATATGGAGCCATTCTTGAAATTGTGCAGGGTCGGCAGGATCTGCTAGAGAAGATTAAGGGGTGTGTTTTTGATTCAGGAGCAGCAGAACCATTCAATCCTCAGGTTTTTGAATCATGGTTTCCTAAGATTTTAGTTTGTTTTATTGTTTGTTTGTTCATATATCATATATGTGTGTTTTCTGCAAGTTTGGACAATGGGACATTAACGAATTTCTAATTGTGCTCACCTTGTTGGCTTAATTATGTCTTTAGTTGCGTATTCATCAAGTTATAATTTGCAGTCCGCAATTGATGCACATTTATGCATCTGAGAGATATTTTTAAATGGCATTCATCCAGCATTCGATCCAAAGAGCACCTAAATCTTAGAGACATAGGTGTGAAAAAAAAAAAAAAAATCTGTACCTTAGCTATACTTCTTCCAAATTAGTGTGAAATTTCACGTCCTCCTTTATTGGAAGTTTCTCATGGATGTTCTGTTCCTCCATCTATGTTCATACGGATCGTATGTGTTGTCATTTATTTTTTCTTTCTGGTTTATGTGGTATTGTTATTCCTTTCACTCAAGGCGAATAAACCATAAAAATCTTCACATTTAAGTACAATTGGATTAACTACGGGTGTGATGATGTGTAAAAGTTGAGAACTGGAGCGACAGTAGTTTAGTTTTTACTTTTTACAAACATGACGGTCTTGAATGAATGGCCACATTAGATCTACTCTGGTTTAAAGGACCTAAAGAGAGCCCAAAATTTACTAAGAAGAACGTGAAAATTTTGACGGACCTAAAAGATGGCCCAAATTTTACTCTGATTTTCCAATGCTTAATTTGTGAATCATGATCATTAACCTCTTTCGTTTTGCTTGTTTGAGCTGAGAACTTGAGTTAAAAAATGAATTCATATGAGAGAAAACGCTATGGCAAAAAAAGTTGAATTTGAATTTTTGTGAGAGAAAATACTGTAGCAAAAACTTGAGTTGTGATTAGAACTAGCGAAATGAACCTAAACCATCTTTGTTCTTCAATTCAACAAAAATGTATAATCTGTGATAAGCAAGTTATGCAGAATGCAGATTGGGAGAAAAAGTGCCTTTAAATGCATGCACGAGGGGTTTGTATAAAGACATGTTGTGCGTTAAATTTTTTGGATTTTTACACACATTATCGTTAATCTCCTGTTATAGATTCTTAAGTGTCTGTTTATTCATTTGTTTACCTCTCTTATCAAATTGCATTTTGTCAACGTCCTTGATCTCATTTTGCTGTCAATAAGTCCAAGTTGATATTGGTTGCAATGTGATTCATGTCGTAAATTTGTGCATAATTTATAACATATCTAGTTATGTGGGGTGTTTTGCTTTCCATTTCAAGCATCTCCTCATAAAACTATCAATAACCTTTCATTTAATCCTGGCAGGTCTGGGCTGCAGGATTTTCCGCTGCAATTCTAAAGAAACGAAACTCAGCAGCTTCCTCTGCACTTGAGAGTAGACCACTAAATGAATCAGAAACTGAGGTGACCGTGTCCTATACACAAGAAAAGGAAGCCCCGATGGTCGAAACTGTGCTTCTATCGCTATTGGAGAAGTTCTTCTCGGTTCTATTAAAGTTGCCGGATGTGGATCAGTAAGTAAATCACCCGTGCGTAAACAAAGATGGAACATATGAGATGCTTTTACAATAGTAATTTCTTGTTCTTGGTTTTGCAGGAGGTTAACAAAAGTTGTCTCTATCCTCACAAGAAACCAGCCATCTTGTCCTCAGCTTTACCTTTATAGTACAGCTGATAAAGTAGTTCCATATAAGTCAATTGAGTTGTTCATTGAAGAGCAAAGGAGGTTGGGAAAAAAAGTATACTCTTTTAACTTTGGTTCATCTCCCCATGTGGACCATTATAGGACTTTCCCAGACATATACACATCAACGCTTCAAAAGTTTTTGAGAGAGTGTTTTGCTACTATAGTGAATAAATAATCCTGCAAAATTAAAAGTAATTTGTACTGAATCTTCGTTTGATACTAATACCATTTTGGCAATGGTAACTCAGCAAAAGGGCATGTTAACACATACCCAATTCATATACCTTAGTGCAAAGAAGGTCTACAAAGCTTATTTTTGGCTTCAGAACTTGAAACTTGTATTACTTGCTCATAATCAACTGGCATATTGCCATGGTTTAGCTGATTGTAATAAACTCTGCAAGAAAGATCTCAGATTTGCTAGCACGTGTTTTTTTTGTCATCATTGTTATCTGTTGTTCCACACCGTTTCATCGGATTTATATTTTTGTTTATTCTTGACTTCTGATTTGATTTTGTCCCGGCGTCTCTTACCATGATAAGGTAAAAGGAAAAAGAAAAGAAAGCACGCTTTCATCTCTTTGTACTTGTTTGTTAAGCTGCTGGGAAACAGGGTGATGAAGGGAAAATATGATTGATGGAAGTCAAAGGTAATGGTAGAAAATATGATTAGGGTGCGATTGAAGTAAGATCCGTGTCATGATTCGTATTATAGTTCGTAGTTTGTTATAATGTTTTTTCTCATAAAAAAACACGTAAATTGAGAATGATTTTAAATCATAATTTTCAATCTATGAATCAAACGTCTTCGAGTGATTCAATTTTACTCAAGTGAACTAACCTCTTTTTTTTTTTTTTTTTTTTTTTAATTTAATTTTTGGCAAATTTGGTCCTTGCTGATACAATCAACAACAGATTTTAGAACTTTAATGAAGGCATCGTCTAAAAACTCGGATTTTTACAAAAGCAATCAGCTTATGTGGAAAATATTATTATTTTTTAAGCATTTTATGGCCATAAAACATAATAATTTACTTTTATTAGGGGAATACTGATATACTTCTTGTGCGACTGTTTTTGTAATTTTAAGTTATTACACGATAAATTTATAATCTTCCCTTATTTTCATTAAATAAAATTATTCATTAACTTGTTGTGAGACACTTGACACTGTCCAAAGAAAATTATGGAATTAATCCAAAAATTTAAGAATCAAATTGTCTTGTCTAACAACATTAAAAATTAAATAATAACAATATTACTATAATAATAATAATAATAATAATAGAGTGTAAGACCAAACTCGGACCAGGGACTCAACGGCACCAGTTTATGTAGTTGGAAGTGAACTGTCCAGAAGTCATCAGGTCTCTCTCTCTCTCTCTCTATATATATATATATATGCGTGTTTATATGTATATATATGATTGATTCTGCTATTTGGACTCAACTTCTGGTTGTAATTGATGGGCAACTAGGGTTTCGAGCTGGGATTTTTTTCCCGTCATATTTAGGTATTTCGGTTGGATGTCTTTTTTGGATGTTGCATTTGCTATGGAATTCCATTTGTTTTATTCGAAGATTATTTACAAAGATTCGAGTTTGCCTGTTAGCAGCATGATTGTTAATAGTGCCATTTTGCCCTTAATCTGATCGATGGAGATGGTTTTTTTTTTTTTTTTTTTTTTAATTTAATTTTTGGCAAATTTGGTCCTTGCTGATACAATCAACAACAGATTTTAGAACTTTAATGAAGGCATCGTCTAAAAACTCGGATTTTTACAAAAGCAATCAGCTTATGTGGAAAATATTATTATTTTTTAAGCATTTTATGGCCATAAAACATAATAATTTACTTTTATTAGGGGAATACTGATATACTTCTTGTGCGACTGTTTTTGTAATTTTAAGTTATTACACGATAAATTTATAATCTTCCCTTATTTTCATTAAATAAAATTATTCATTAACTTGTTGTGAGACACTTGACACTGTCCAAAGAAAATTATGGAATTAATCCAAAAATTTAAGAATCAAATTGTCTTGTCTAACAACATTAAAAATTAAATAATAACAATATTACTATAATAATAATAATAATAATAATAATAATAATAGAGTGTAAGACCAAACTCGGACCAGGGACTCAACGGCACCAGTTTATGTAGTTGGAAGTGAACTGTCCAGGTTCGTTGTACCTTATCACAGCCGCAATATATAAATATTTTAGACGCACAAACAAAAAAGGCTCAAAATTCTTTGGCCAACTAACCATTCAACAAAAACGTCAGAAAAAACCAAAGGTTTCCCACTTGCAGCAGCCTTGAAACTTGAGAGAGACGGAGAGAGGATTGGCGCATGTAAAGATGGCGATTTCGGAGGAATCGCTGGTAAAACCCACGATCTCTCCGCCGAATACATACGGCGCTGTTGTTCTCGGCGGTACCTTCGACCTATTACACGACGGCCACCGTCTTTTTCTCAAGGTCTTCTCACTTGCTTTCCCTTGATTTGACTTATCTCCTTTTAATTATTATTATTTATTTGATGATTTGGGATTTTTTTTTTTTCAAATGCTTTTCGATAACAATGGCAATTCAGGCGTCGGCGGAGCTGGCCAGGGATCGGATTGTAATTGGAGTTTGCGACGGTCCCATGTTGACTAAAAAACAGGTGATTTAATTGAAGAAATAAAAAAAAATCTCTTCAAGCACTTTATTTGTTGCTCCAAGAACTAAATTTTATATGGATTTGATTCTTTGAAAGTTTTACCAATGTGAGGTAATGAATGAAGTCAAAGATATAATTTTTGCAGTTTGCTGAGTTAATACAGCCTATTGAGGAAAGGATGCGTAATGTTGAAAATTACATCAAGGTATTTTAGTTCTAAAAGCTTTTCTTTTGCTTTATTATGACAACCATTCAATTTTCTTGTTTAAGAAGAAAATGATAACTTTTTACTATCCAATTGCCTTTCCAATTTCCTAAAAGTTTTTTTTTTTTTTTTTTTTTTTTTTTTTTTTTTTTTGGGCAGTCTATTAAACCGGAGCTCTTAGTGCAAGCTGAGCCTATTACTGATCCATATGGTCCGTCCATCGTTGATGAAAATTTGGAGGCTATAGTTGTGAGGTTTGTTTCAAATTAACATCGTATTGGGTCTTAGAATGTGAGTTAATTTCTGTTTGAGTGACACTTAATTGAAATTTATGAATGGCAACAATTTTACTTTGGCCTTTTAATTGGTTTCAAAAGTGAGTTGATCCAATACTTTGGTCTTTGTTTCTGCCATTGTTGTATGACAAATGAATGACTTCAAAGAAAAAGAAAATCTGATGACAATGGTTTTGGTTTTGGCAGCAAGGAGACTTTACCGGGTGGAATTTCGGTCAATAAGAAGAGAGCTGAAAGAGGCCTCTCACAACTGAAGGTTTTAATAGTTTATGAATTTCTAGTTTCATAATTCCATATGGTGATCTTATTGATAATAAAGGTCTTCAATCATGTTCTGAATGTTATGCAGATTGAAGTTGTGGACCTGGTTTCTGAAGGATCTAGTGGAGATAAGCTTAGTTCATCGACACTGAGAAAGCATGAGGCTGAGAAGGCCAAGCATCAGGAAGCCAATATCAACAAAGATTCTAATTCTATAGAAAGTACTGAAAATTAGCTAACTCCAATCATTTCGGGGCTTAGAAGATGACAAGGTCATGAAACAGGAGCTCGACGGTAATAAATCTCTCCGGAGAATTTGAAGAGGTTGTATCCGTAGCAATGTTGAGTTTTGTGTCCCAGATATTATAGGATTCTTTGACCTTTTATACGAGCACCTGCAAGTTTTTTCTTTTTGTTTTTTCCACTCTCTTTTCATAAAGAATTAATTGACATGTTGGCGCTTTGTAGCTTTTTGAGCTCATTTGGGACGACTACAAGTAAATCAAATAAATGTTAAAAGTAATTTGAGTAGATGATCTTTATAATCTAGTTTTCTAATCTTTTTCTATACCTTTTTGGAGACTAGTTTTGAATCTAGTTAGTGAAACACAACCCAAGTAATTGAATCTCCAGTATATCACCTGATTTACACTCTTTGATTGCTTTTTCAACCGTTTCTTTCTTGATCCGTCTCTTTCTTTTACCACTAGTCGAGAGTGAACTTCATACTTGCAGCCGATAGTGCGAATTGAAATTTCCTGCCAACATAACTATGCGAGCTACACGTCGACGTCCGATGAAAACGACTTCACATAGATATAAACGCGTGTCATCTTTGAAGTATACAACGACACACATGAGAACAATATGCAGTTCATTGCATCAATGCAGAAAATTAGTACATTATATGACATGTCGTTTACATACTAAAAGACGTAAAACATGTCGTTCCAAGAAACGGCAGCAAAATCATCCAATAAAAAAAATGGACATGTATGCTGTAAATTGAATGACCAAAGGCTGATATAACAGCAAAAGTCCATTTTCTTTTATTCTTGAGGAACAAACAACGGCAAAACTCTAAATACATGTGAGAAGAAAAAGGAATCATTCATGGGGTATGATTTCCCTTGTTTGTTTGCAAAGTTATTCTTATTATTTTTCAAAAACAAAAAAAACAAAAAAAAACAAAAAAAAAAACACTAAACTATGATTTTGGCTTCTGTTTTCATTAGGTACAGAAGTTGAACGTGGTCAGGAAAAGACAGAGAAAAACGACAATTACGAGGCAAAAGGAAGGTTAATAAAGAAATCACAAATTAACAACTATACATGCAAAGTGACAACAAATACATACAGGACGACAAAACTGTGAAAGGGCAATGATAAGAAACGACAGCAAATTTGTAAGAACATTAACTATGAGATGTGCTCATTCAATAAAAAAAAAAAAAAAAAAATCTATGGGACGTGAAAAACAACAATTGAATAGAAAGGACACTATTTCGGAAACGACATGGATTCTAGAAAACACCATAACGACAATAAAAGGAAATTAACTACAAAGCAACGACGGTAAAAACTTCAAACAACAGCTATACATTGTAACGGCATCAAATTTATGAAAGAACGAAAATAAAAAGTAAATTACATTCAAAGAAACGACCTTAAGAACTTGAAGAAACTACAGTTATATATAGCAACGGCATAATAAGAAGACTTCAAAAACAAAAATAAGAAGTATAAAAAAAAGTTATTTTTTTTAAGGAAAATATAATTGGTTATTTGTTGTTGTGACTTAGTTTGGGGGAAAAAAATAGAAAGTGACTCTTAAATAAATACTATTTTCTATTCAAATGAAATTACAACAATATTTCTCGAAAAAAAAAAGAAATAACAAACAACAATGACACCTAAATTTACTCCCAAAAAGAAAATCCCTTGAAAAATTTTCCTCCAAAAAAAAAAAAAAAACCAAAAAATGAACGTTGACGTTTAAGTGGAGCATAACTTGAAAAAATGCATTTCACCGCCTTTCAATTAATTAACGGCTATCTCCATTCTCCATAACTAGAATTTGAATTTGAAAACGTACTTGTAAAGGAGTGAACTGGCCCTTAGGAAACGGAAACGATTTTTTTCACTCTCTCCTCCCAACCCATCCATTTCATCCAAGAAATTATGCTTCTCTGACTTTGAAGGAGAATTCCTCCTTTTTACCCCAACAACACAGAGAAAACAAGAAGATCATCGGACACAAAACAGGCCATTGATTTCTCCAAGGTTTTACTTTTCCTTTTCCTCTCTTTTCTTTTTCTTCTGTTACAAGCGCTCAGATTTCTGATTTTCTGTTTTCCTTTCCTCTTTCTTGTATCGTGATCATCATAATGGGTTTTACTAATTAGGACTGTCAAGAGGTTTTTGTTGAACTCTTCCGTTAAATTGCCCGTGATTTCCATTTTTTCATCAAATCTCTTGTTTTGTTCTTGTTTGATTTTAGTGAGAATCTTGAATTTGACAGTCTTTTGTACGGTTGTTATATGCGAAAATCAGATCTTGGAGCAGAGAGACAGAGACTTCTCTCAAGAACCCGAATCAAAATTCTTGATTTGTTGAAGGTAAATTTTTTTTTTTGGAGAATTTCGTTTATATTAAACTGTACCTTCACTTTATTGTTAATCGCCGTACTAATTTTGGTGACTATTTTTCTAAATTTCTTTGCAGGTTGGTTTTGCAAAATCTCGGAAAAGATGAATGATTTGATGACAAAATCGTTCCTAAGTTATGTGGAAGTCAAGAAACAAGCCCAGAAGGACCTCGAAGCCGATCTCGACATCGAAAAGGGCCAAATTCCCGACCTGAAAGACGAAGGGAACCTCTCTCAGTTCTACCAAGAAGTCGCAGCGGTCAAGTCCGAAATGGAAGAGATCACCAATCTCTTGTCCGACCTTCAGGCCCTGAATGAGGAAGCCAAGGCCACCCACAGCGCCAAGATTCTCCGCGGGCTCAGGGACCGAACGGACTCCGATGTCGTTGCAATTCTTCGGAAACTGAGGACCGTCAAGGCGAGACTCGAGGCGATTGATCAGTCCAATGCGAAAAACCGGAAGATCTACAGAGAAGGAAGCCCTGTAGACTGTACTAGGGTCTCGATCACCAATGGCTTGAGAGCCAAGTTAAGAGAAATGATGAGGAGTTTCCAGTCTCTGAGGGAAAAGATTGTGGCTGATCACAAGGAAGATCTGAGGAGGAAGTACTATTGCGCTACAGGGGAGTTACCAAGCGAGGAGGCGGTCGAGAAGATGGCCGCCGGGGCGATGAAAGTCGAATTTTTCGAGGGGAAAACTGAGGCTGAAATGGGGAACAAAGCCAGACATGAGAATGTTTTGGATATACAGAGAAGTTTGGATAAGCTTCATCAGGTGTTTCTTGACATGGCTGTTCTGGTTGAAGCTCAAGGCGAAAAGATTGATAACATTGAAGAGAATGTTATGAATGCTGGTGATTTTATTAATGGTGGCACAAACAGTCTTTACTATGCTAACCAGATGAAGAAGAAGAACAAATGGGTTTACTGGGTTTGGGCTGTTGTGATTATCATTCTTCTGGTCTGCTTCATATCAATGTTGGCTTCTTGAGTTTTGTAGGGCTTTTGGTATTGGAGGGTTTTTTTTATAGATTTTTTCAATTCATCTTTTACTTTTAGCTTTCTAAGCTCAGAGAGCGATTTGTGCACTGCTTCAATGGCAGTTGATTTTTTTGGTTATGGTTCTTTTTGTTTTGTTTTTTGGTGGTTATTTGTTTGATATGTTTGGACATTGTAAATCCTCATTAAATAGAAATGAAAAGCTATATTTGGTGGGTTATTCGTCTGATACATTTTGACATTCTGTTGATCCTCATCAAATAGAAATGAAAAAGGTAGATTTTTCTTTTCTTAATGGACTAGAGCACTTTGGGGATTTTTCTTACTGTTATTTGATTGTCGTTTGTATGCATTGCTTCTATGTTCTACTTGAAAACGACAATGAAGAATGGGGACCAGCCAACAGCTTTGCATTGAAAAAGTTAGTCTATTAACGAGACAAAAAGAGGAATAAAAGATATTTTTTCATGTGAAAGACCTTATCCAAATTTTGAACCAAAGAAACAATTACCCAATTCTCCATTTCTCCACTGCGTTCTCTTCTCTTTTAACACCTTTGCACTTCAACGACACCTCGCTTGCTTTCTCCAAAAGCCAGTTCTTGGAACCCAACATGGAAAATGCATTGACTTTGCTAGAAACATGTTCAAACATGGTGGAATTGGAACAGATACATGCCCAGATGTTTAAAAGAGGCCTTGTTTCAGATGTCATCCCCGCAAGCAAGCTCCTAAGTTTCTGTGTTTTACCCAATTCTGGCAATTTGGCTTACGCCCGAATGATCTTCGACAGATTTAGCAAACCCAACACTTTCATGTGGAACACAATGATTAAAGGATATGCAAACAGTAATGAGCCAGAAGAAGCTTTACATCTTTACCATCAAATGGTCTGCCATTCAGTTCCGCACAACAATTACACGTTCCCTTCACTGCTTAAAGCCTGTTCTTGCTTGTCAGCGTTGAAAGAAACCCAACAAATCCACGCTTGCATCATAAAGATGGGGTTTAGCTCAGAAGTCTACGCCATTAATTCCTTATTGCACGTTTATGCCGTAACTGACAGCTTCCACTCGGCAAATCTTCTGTTCAATCGAATCCCAGAGAGAGACATTGTTTCTACAAACTCGATGATCAATGCATATGCGAAATGTGGTGAAATGGGGAAAGCCAATGCGTTGTTTCGAAACATGCCGGAGAGAAATGTTATTTCATGGACAACAATGATTTACGGATTTGTTAATGCAGGCTTGGATAAAGAAGCTTTGTACTTGTTTCATGAAATGCAAGTGGCCGGTGTCAAACCTGACAGTGTGACACTGGCAAGCACTCTCTCGGCTTGTGCCTGTCTTGGGGCATTGGACCAAGGCAGCTGGATACACTCTTATATTGGAAGGAATCAAATCCATATCGATCCAATCTTGGGTTGTGTTCTTATAGACATGTATGCCAAGTGTGGCAACATGGAACAAGCTCTCAAAGTTTTTGGAAATCTGAAGAAGAAAGATGTCTCTACCTGGACAGCAATAATTGCAGGTTTTGCAATTTATGGACGGGGAAGAAAAGCTCTTGACTGGTTTAAGCAGATGCAGAGTCAAAACGTTAAGCCAAACCTCATCACTTTCACTGCAATTTTGACTGCTTGTAGTTATGCAGGGTTAGTCAATGAAGGAAAATCATTATTTCAAAGCATGAAACCTGTTTATAAGCTGAACCCTTCAATAGAGCATTACGGTTGCATGGTTGATCTTCTTGGCCGTGCAGGCTCGCTGGAAGAAGCAAAACAGTTGATTGAGAAAATGCCTTTTGCGCCGAATGCTGCCATATGGGGGGCACTCCTTAACGCCTGCTGGATTCATAGACATCTCGAGTTAGGCAAAGAGATAGGAAAACTCCTGATCGAACTCGACCCAGAACATCATGGAAGGTACATTCATTTGTCAAGCATTCATGCTGCAGCCGGAGAATGGAACCAAGCAATAGAAGTGAGGAGGCGGATGAAAGATTTGGGAGTTCGGAAACTTCCTGGCTGCAGTGTCATTAGCCTAAATGGGATAGTTCATGAATTTTTTGCCGGGAATGGCTCTAATTTGCACATGGGAGAGATTTGTCATATGTGGCAACTGATGGCAAAGAGAATGAGACAAGAAGGATACGAACCTGTAACAGGAGACTTGTTACTTGATCTTGAGGATGAGGAGAAACAAACAGCAATCCAACAGCACAGTGAGAAGCTTGCAATGGCCTTTGGGCTAATGAGAAGTAAACCAGGAGTAACAATTCGGATTTTCAAGAATCTACGGGTTTGTGAGGACTGCCATAGGGCAGCGAAGCTCGTATCAAAGATTTATGGTAGAGATATAATTTTGCGTGATAGAGTTCGTTTTCATATTTTCAGGGAAGGGAACTGCTCTTGCGGAGATTACTGGTGAAAAAAGATTGTGAATTGCATTGTTCTTTCAGAATGTAATAACAAACATTATTCCAGTACATGATATATTAACGGGAATGATTATGCCTTTGCCAGACCAATAATTTGATTTTGTAACTATAGAGCTGCAGAAAATACAAAGCAAGGCAGCCGAAAAGGAGAGGAAAAAAAAACAAACAAGAAGAAAGGCAAGAGTGACATATTTCTACAAAATTGACACAGTTCAGTTGGTGCTAAGATGCTGAGTTGCAGTCCAAGATTGTCCAGGCTCTAACTGGGTATTTCCAATCTGAAGTAAAAAGAGACACCAAAAAACAAAAAGAACATCAGAAAAATAGTTAAAAGGCATGTTGCATAAAGAATAACATTAAGAAGTAGTTCAATTAACATAACATCTCCCTGCTGAATGATAAAGCCAAATTTACTAGAATAAAGAAGGCTTAAGGTAAGGGGACAAATAATACAATAATCAGCTCAAAGCGCATATGGACAAACTTGGGAGGAAATGTGATGCAGCGGAATGGATAGAACGGGATTTTACCGGCCTAACCCGGACGGAGGAATCCTAAATCCACCTAAAAGAACTCCACAAAGGGGAAAACCCCCAAATTGGAGATGAAACTCAACTCTAAATCAATTATCAAAATATTCAAGTCTAACTATTACAATAGATATGGTGGCTATTTATAGTCCACTCATCAAACGACAACAAAACAACTACTGAGATAAACGATAAAAGCACATCCAAATTAATAAGCTAATACAAACAACATAGAAATATAAAAACGATTACTAATAACTTAATCTTCCTACATCAAAATGTCAACTAGAATATATTTTGTTCAAGTTTTAGCCGTCACTAGAAATTTTGTACCTTAGCATTTTCCACACAGACAAAATCCTTATAGCAGGCTTCCATCTGCAGATGTGGGTTCCACAACACAGCATCGGTCCAACTACAACCATGAAATTTGCAGGAGAGCCAAGAATGTAAAACACATAAATATCATAGAAAATTTGTAACTAAATTAGAGTAAACCGACGAACCAAGCTTCAAACTCACTTTGTATTTCTGATAGATATTACATCCCCTAATCCGTTATCAAGATGCAACTCACTAGGAGTATCCAAGTATATGCAATCCACAAATCCAGGAAAAGTGACCACGTCCCTGTGTACGTAAAATAAACAATCGGAAATGAAGAAAACCCAGGCCTGAACATTCAAAAGATCCTCTCTTTCACTTGCTGGAATCAAAATTTTCGTTTCCATATTGTATGGTAATAAAAGCATGTCTCTACATGAATTTGATACAAACCTTTCTTCCTTGCCTTCCAGTGGATTCTTTGGATCAGGGACTTTATTTAGTGTTTTGCAGCCTTTTAACCCTCTAACCGATGCCCCTGTTACAGAAGCCTGCATGATAAAGGCTATTGATAGTAATTTGTTTTCTTCCAAGCATTTATGGTAAATAAAGGTTGCAAATACCATGTAAACTGAAACTCCTAGAGCCTTTGAGAAATTTGAGATCACAATCAAAACATGAATTTATACAACAAGTTCAGAAAATGATTCAAATTGAAAGCAAAAATTTGGATTGCCAAGCAGGAAGGTTGGATACTTACGCTAAAGTACGTGTGCAGGGCAGTACTAAATGAGAATGGCTTGTTGTCTGTGTTTGTAACAACAAGTTCGGTCGAAAGGCTGCGCGATTTCAGCAATACCTAGAGCCAATAGACCACTTGTAAGTCCATCGTCTGTAAGACGTTATAAGGAATGCACACAATGTTCGGCATTGCAACTTGCAGGCAAGCTGAAAAATGAGCTACCAGTGACAATTACATGAAATTCAGTTTTATAACTAACCTTGTATAAAGCCTGAAAGCTGAAATCCCACATGGAACGACTGTAAGGCCTGTCCTTAAGCTCTAAAGTTACGACGGGATTTCCTTCCACAGTTTCGGAATCAACAATTGACCAATCCACGTTTCTTGCAAATCCATGCTGTCAATGGTGTAAACACCCCCAAAGTTCAGTACATAGTCACATCTGTACGTCTTAGCAACACCAGAGATAAAAGAATAGAAAATAACACAGTAATAGATATTGTACAGGAGAAAACATGATTATCGCAAGATGATAGACGGAGAAAATAAGAATAAATAAGAGGATACCTGCTGCATCTGACCAGGTCCAAACTGTGGAAAACAATGTGGAATACCTCCACTATCCCAAGAGAGATACAGTTAGTATTTGAGAGAAATCATGCTCTTTGGTAAATAAGTAAATCAATGTGGGAAGATCGACATTATTTAAGTTGAAGTATGATATTTTATGGTTATTTTGTTTTTGCTGCCTCAGGCATGTCAACATAACCTAGACAAAAAGTGCTAAGGTGTAAGCGTGTGTAGTCACGGTCTAACTCATCCCGCAAGAGAAAGAAAGAAAGAAAGAAAGAAAGCAAAAAAAAAAAAAAAGGAACCTGATTGGTTTCTTCTTATTGAAGACAGCATCAGGCCGAATGAAAAGGAGGTCCTTGCCATTTGGGAGTTTCCAAGATGTAATGCAACCTCCAAATAAGTATATATCAGCCTCACTACAAAAAGGTATAATGCAATCATCTATTAGAGAAATTCTTCATATGAATCTGTATCAGAACTCATTTAATGAGCAATATAACTTTGTAATGTTAAATCCCATCTTAAGTCTAGAACTATAGGTTTAGTCCTCTAACTTTTAAAACGATGCGAAACAAGTCTCCGATCAATCAAATTGTCCCAAATTAATATTTTCATTAATTCAACAATTAAAATCTCGACGGAAAAAGGCACCAGCCGAGATTATAATGATCAAATGGATGGAAGGGCACGGCCCCTAGTCAGGAAGAAGTCGGGCATTTTTCTGTTGAGAGACAGAAATTTCCATACTAATTTGGAACAATTCGATAGGACGGGACTCATTTTGAGACGTTTTAAAAGTCAAAGATCAAAATGATGTTAGGCCTATAATTAGAAGACTACAAATGAGATTCAAGTCAATTAGTCAAGGAAGCAAAAGCAGAAAGATACGATAATTGAAAGAGGAAAAAAAAAAAAAAAAAACCACGTGTTTTACTGACCTACCCTCAGCAGAGGTCAGAACGACTTTGGGCAAGTTTTCTTCTCCTTCAGTGAGCCTCACTCCCAAAGACCTCTCTTTGCTCAGGCTTGCAAAGGCAACACCGGAGTGCCTGTGGTCACACACACGCACGCACAACCAAAATGCACATTCAAAATATCTTGGCATTTCAACTTGACAGTGGTGACGAGATTTTCAGCTAAAAAACGCACAAAACCATAATTTTCTATGATATGATTTCGGAACAAAATTGTATCTTTCTCATGCGTAGATAGATATTAAATTCAAGGAATAAAAAGGAGGAGCTTACCGGTTGACTCTGCGAAAAGTTAAACGGGTCGGAGTAGGGAGCGAAATGGGCATAGAAATCATCGCCATCTTTCTCGGCAAAACGTCTCTGCTTTGCTGAGCTTGTGGGAGGCTTGGTGATTCGGTTGTTGTTTAAGCCGTCGCCATTTTTGTGCTTGTTAAAATTCGGATATTCTTATGATTCTCAGTTTTTTTTTTTTTTTTTTTTTTTTTCTTTTTCTTTTAACTGATATTTCTAAATTCCTTCCCAACAGGTGTTCACGAATCGGATTACGGAGGCCTCGTTCACTTCGCAGATTTGAGTTTTCAATTCGAGTTGAGATGTGATATTTTCTGAGAGCTTTTCACTGTAGCAGAAAAAGTTAAATGTGACATTTTCTGAGAGCTTTTTACTGTAGAAATTTAAAATTAAAAACTCGAATCGGTAAAATGAACGAGGTCTTAACAAGTCAATCCGTAATCTAATTTGTTATTATATATTAGAAAAATCTCAATCCATTAAATTTCAAATTCAATTCAATCCGTAAAGAATTTCACAGATTGAATTACGAATTCGCTGATTATTTATGTTTTAGACCTTGACTCTTGTAGCTCATTTCTTTTCTCAATATTATCATAAAATTAATAACAAAATTAAACAAAAACACAACATAATATAAATTAAAATAGTTCCACAAAATCTAATTCATTACATCACATAAACGGGATTAGAATTCAGGATGGGGGTGACCCTACTCTTATTTTGTCCCTCCTATCCACCTCCATACCCGTTTAATTTTAAACCGGATAGATATGAGAAAATCCCCACTAGAAGAACTATCCTCACACCACATCCATTTACCCATTAAGAAAGTAATATTTATTATTTATAATTGAAAAATATTATAATTAAAAGGATAGCTTCCTTTTTTATTTTTGATACTTTTCCTTTTCTTTATAATTTTTAATTATTATACATATATTTTAAGATTTTTAAAGTATATACAAAGTAAGCAATAAAGACACTAGCTCTGTATATAAAATACAAGTACACATAATTAAGTTGGGAATGGGACGCTGTCCCATCTCCGACTCAAAGTCAGAATAACTACCATAACCGCCCCCGCCCTCATATATGGTCCGTTCACTTCGCTGATTTGAGTTTATAATTCGAGTTGAGATGTGATTTTGTGTGAGAATTTTTTACTGTAGTAAAAAAGTTAGATGTGACTGTTTCTGAGAGCTTTTTACTGTAGCAGAACTCGAATTATAAACTCGAATCGGCAAAATGAACGGAGCTATAGTGTTTCCATACCCACCTTGGCGGGTACCTATTCTCATCCTTAAATATAAAATTGAAGTCTTTGACACAAAATTTAGCATAAAGTTCAAGTCTTTGACAATGATTTAGGATATGTTTATTTTCATGACTTAAGTCATATTATTACAGTATTTTCTCTTATAAAAATTTAAATTTAATTTTTTTATTATAATATTTTTCTCTCACATACACGACTTAAGTCATAACTTAAGTCATGCAAAAAACACAAGCCCTTAAAATGTATAATTCAAATCCATAATAACAGACAAACTTCAATAAGTAAAGTCATCATCATTTACCAGCATTAATTTAAAGTAATTCAACATCGATACATTAGTTTGGGCTTTAGTTTTGTATTAAATCTACCGTACAGACAAAATCGAGATTCCTTTGATGTATACTTAAATTATATATATATATATATGTATTATATAATTAGAAAAATAATATTTACATATGTTATTTAAAAATTTATAGAAAAATATAATATATATAGATATATAAATATAGTTTGAATTAACGGATTATATGATTGAGCAATGCTTAATCTGCAATTAATTTATTATCACAGGCTGCTTCGGGGTCTTTACACATGTAGTAAAATTTTAATAGTAGGGCTTAAATCTTAAATGTAGAAAATTTTTTAAAATATTATAAAAATAATAAAATTTTTATATTATTACAATAATAAGTAAATCATTATATGATACAAAATGTGAAATTATTATGATAATGACTATCTAATTTTTATTATATTTATAATATTTTGAAAATTTTGTTAAATTTTAAAAGTGAAGAAAAGTACATGATTTATTGTGGTTTTGTACAAACCTATTACTTATATTATTATAAATAATTAGATGTCATTACAACCTTTTATTTTATTTTTATTAATTGAATGTAAATTGTTTAGTTTTGATGGTAGTGATATAAGTAATATTTTTCTATCAGTGCTATTTCTGGTTTTCCCCCTTTTTGCGATGCAGTGTATCTCGGCTGCTTTCCATGTTGGGGCCCAATATAAAGAAGAACCTGAGCCTGAGTCCAATGAGCCCAAAATGGATGTCCAATTCCCATGAAACTATTCAAGGGCTTGAGAAGCTGTTCGCCAAAAATTCTATGCATAAAATGACTCCACGCAAGCGCACGCAATCGAATAAATAATATAGTAATGAGTAAAGTATCATCTCCACAGGGACTGAGTTAATGAGGAATTCTATTATAAAAACCAGTTTTATCAATATGATTGAGAATAGTTTGAATGCCAAATTGATATTAATTAAGTGAAAAGAATGTATAAGACCAAAGACTGTAATTTAAATGCAGACAAGAGGTAAAAGTCAACAAGATCTGAGCTTAGAGCTGTGATTTAATGATGGATGAAGGCTACGATTACTGATTTCCCCTCGGTTGCAACTCTGACCACGATTTGCTATACGATTGCTATAGCAAAGTTCATCTAGTCAACCTAAAATTCTACATAATCATCTTCCGACAGATTTATGCTTGTAATTCCTTAAACTAAACCAACATATTTCTATGTGTTTTAGTTTACAAATCTGACGTTAACATCAATTTTAATGGGTTGTACAAGATAATAGTATATTCTTATACTATCTCTTACATTATCCAAGCTAGATCTAACTCAACCAACCTTTCCAGAATTAGCTTAAATTTGTGTTTTCTTACTAAATGATGGCCTGTCACTTAATAGAAAGTAAACAATAAATACGCTTGAATAAACCAGATGAAAATTACATTATCAATCAAGATAGCAAATAGATCTTCATTGCAACTTTGGTTCCATCAATAATCCTAGCTAAGGAATTTAGCTCATGTTTAGTTCAACAAAATCAGAATTAATAACAAATAACAGATCCATAAGGTCTCGGAAAGTAAATACAAAGAGAAAGAGAAAACAGCTAAACTAGAATCTGAGGTCAAAAACCCCTGTGTATCCGTGTTGTACTCTTCTTTTCTCCAGCTCCAGCGTCCAAAATCTCCTGTACTCTCTTCTGTCTCCGTTTCCAGCTCATCCAGGAATTCTGTGTGCCTCCCTGATTTTTTTCCTCTTCTCTCCCTCTGGCGTACTATACTCTTCTTTTCCTTTATATACTAGGGCATGTTGAGGTGCCCTAGTGACAAGTGTATGCATGAGAGTCATGATTGATGGTCCCCCCTCCTGGTGCTCTTACAGCTGTCCCGTCAGTGCTTGGACCACTACCAGCGCTAAAAGACAAACTGCGACAGCTTGCTAATTTTTGGCTGCTCCTGCTTTTGCTGCGACTTTGCTGCAGCAATGCTATGGCATTGGGGGGATTTCAACCTTTGTGTTTTCTACCGTGCTTTTCTCACCAAAAGCCTACGTCAGCACCTCCTGTGGACATCATGCACTAAGTTTCCAGGGTCAATGCAATGAGTTGAATTGAGGAATAACTTCAAAATATAGCAAGATTTCCCATAAATAACAACTTTCTGCGACACGGAAAAAGATTAATAAATGCTATTTAAAATACTAACACAAATGCATTTTACCCGGAGAATATAAACAAATATTAAGCCTAAAAATATGCTAAATAACTCTATTTCTGTGAGTTATCAAAAGCCCAACTCGATTGGAAGATGGATAGTTGCAAAACGCAAGACGCTCACCGTCGCCGGAATCCGCAGCAAAAGAGATCACAGACAAAGCTTCTTCAGTACCAGAAGATGCTTCGAGCGGCTTTGAAGACGAAGAAAAAAATGGCGGTCCAGTTTATGGTCCAAAGCCGCCGAGGACTCGCAGTGCTGAGCTTTGGGGACGGAAGCCATGGCGCTCTGGGACTCCCGACTTCTCTGATGGGAATCGGCGTCGACGCCTACGAGCCGACCAAAGTGCTTTCTCTTCCCTCCGATATCGACGCCGTAAGCGCTGGCCACTACCACTCGCTTGCCGTGACTTCGCAAGGCCAGCTTTGGGCGTGGGGCCGAGACCTCGAAGCTCAGCTTGGCCGTGGTCGTTCTTCTCCCAGGTAAAATTACGCTCTTCGGCTATTTAGGGTTCTGTTTTGGCAAAATTTTGTTTGTTGCGCAATTGTGAATGTGATTTTTTTTTAATTTAATTTTTTTATTTTTATGTAAGGTTTGAGGAAAATGTGTGTTATTTTCGATTTTCTGTTTCTGTCTAGAAATGATCTTTGGAATGAAGCTTATCAATGTTACAGAAGTGTACATGTGCATTATACTGGAATTTCTAATTTTTCGAATTGAACTTTAGAGCCTGCTTGGTAGGAGAGAAAAGTGGAAGGAAAGAGATTAGTGCAAGAATTCTGAATCCATGATTGTTTGGTAGGAGAGGGAAAATGAGAGAATGGGTTGGGCGAGGGATTTTAAATCTTTTAAAGAATAATTCAGTTTTTTCAAATATGAAGAGAATAGAGGTGGGAATTCATACCAAACACAATAAAAGGAATGTCATTTCCTTCCTCTCTATTTTTCTCACCTAGCTTATATCCCTTTCTTTCATTTCTATTTTCTTTTCCTCTTACCAAACACTGCCTACATTAAGCAAAGATGAAGTTTTTAAACTTTTCTTTCTTCTTTAAACAATCACGTCTAGTTACGTACATCTTGTTCATCTATGACAAGATTTGGCCTTTTTTTTTCCTTTTTTTTTGGTGTTCATTTATTGGAAAATCTTCTTTTGAAGGGGATGCTTGCTGGTTATTCACTTATTCTGAAATGCCATTGATAGGTGTCAAAAGGAATTCCGAACAGTTTGCTTATAGTAATGTTTGTAGGAGTTCTCATGGATTACTCTTTTGGTAGAGATTCATGGAATGAGCCCAAGAGAGTAATAGGATTGGAGCAAGTAAGAGTTAAAGCGGCATTTGCTTCTGGCGTTGTTTCTGCGGCCATTGGAGATGATGGATCTCTATGGACTTGGGGAAAGTCTAAGCGTGGCCAGCTTGGTCTTGGAAAGGAAGTCATTGAGGCTGTTGTGCCTTCGAAAGTCGAAGCGCTTGCCAGAGAAAAGATAGCTAAGGTGTGCGTGCGCTTATGCTTATGGCTGATTGGTGTTATGATTTTCAATTGACTTAACTCACAATTTTCAGGAAAAGTAGAAAATGAATGAATTGCAAGACTGGTGTTTATTAGTCTGCTTGAACCCCATTTCCTTGTTTGGCAGGTGACGTTTGGTTGGGGACATGCTCTTGCACAGACTGAGGATGGGAAATTGTTTGGATGGGGTTATTCAGCTGATGGTAGGTTAGGAAGCATTGCAGGGACTCTGGAGACATCTCCACTGGAATCAAGTGCAACTGAAAACAACAAACTGTCAAGTTCGACATTAGAGGCTGCAGAGAAGCTGGTTTTGGAAGGAGTGGAGAAAGAGAAAAACAGGCCAATAATTTGGGAGCCTCGTTTAGTGAAAGAACTACACGGTGTTCATGTTCTGGACATTGCTTGTGGCCTTGACCATTCACTGATCCTTTGCGGTAGGTAGTGTATTTATGTCTACATTTATGTGTTTGTGGATCAGTAAATCCATCAAGATTCGATCTAATCATCTGGTTTTCAGGTGATGGAACTCTGTTAAGCTGCGGGAGCAATGCATATGGGCAACTGGGCAGAGTAAAACAAGATCTAGGAATGTTTCCTGTTGACATAAGCTTCCATCTAACATCTGTTGCCTCAGGTCTTGGCCATTCTTTGGCAATTTGCCGAGTTTCGCTATCAGATGATTCAAAAGGTGACCCCACAAGCATTGTTTCATGGGGATGGAATCAAAGCTCTCAGCTCGGAAGGGTGGGACCGGAGAGCACTCTGATGAAGGTCAAAGCATTGGAAGGGGAAACTCCCGTTTCGGTGTCAGGAGGGCGTGTGCATTCCATTGCCCTGACATCAAGTGGAGAAGTGTGGGTCTGGGGTTGTGGTAAGAATGGAAGGCTTGGGTTAGGAAGCTCCATTGATGAAGCTGAACCGGTTTTGCTCTATCCTCTAGAAGATTATGAAGTGTTACAAGTTGTATCAGGTTTTGATCATAATTTAGTGCTAGTAGCTGAATAATGGGCCCATTTAGTTCGCTGATTCGAATTTTTTAATTCAAGTTGAGATGTGACTTTATTGAGAGCTTTTTACTATAACAAAAAAGTTAGATGTGATTGTTTCTGAGAGTTTTTTACTGTAGTAAAATTCGAATTCTAAACTCAAATCGGTGAAATGAACTGGGCTATGTAATCTGCTGAACACAGTGGCTTGATTGCGTCATTGTTACATCAGTTTTGTATGTCTACATGAGCTCTAGTATTATAGGCACAAAAATAAAACGAATAGCAGTGCAATAATGAATAGCTTTTCAAAATTTGCATTGCTTCTCAGTTGTTTTAGGTTTCTTTACAGAAACATTTAAAAACGACATAAACACCTAAATACTCGGCTATCTATATTAGGGGCGTTTGGTATGAGATAATCTCAGGAGGTGGGAATGAGAATATGAAAGATTCTGGTATAATTATTGGACTTTTTTAAAACCTAAAAAAGTAAAGCCTATAGGATTTACATTACTACATTTTAGAGTAATTCTAAACCTACCTAATATTATTCACTTTCCCAGGAAAGTAATACACGAGAATCAAAATCTCTCTCACCCATTTTTTCTTAGCCCAGACGCCTATCTTGTCCAACTTGTTGAATCTCTTCCGTCGCCACCGCTGCCGCCGCCCGATCCATTGCGCTGTCGCTGCTTTCCGATCCACCACTTGATCGCCAGACGTATCTAGCCCTAACCTCTCTCTAACCCATCTTTTTCCAGACCCAGCCGCCTCTCTCTCGTCTAGTCTTCCGTCGACCACACTGCCGCCGCCTTCTGATCCACCACGCCGTTGCCGGACCTTCCTCTATCGCCACCACCAGTATGATTCCTTTTTTCTTCTTTCCTCTGTCGTTGCCGATCTATGTTAGTTTTTTTTTATTATCTTGATTTCAATTTCATACGGGCATCAATCTCATTTGTCGCATTGATGGATTGTATAGGTGGTTTTCTTTTCAATCTGTGATGTTAATTTTTTAGTTTTTTCCGCTTTTCTCCTTGCTGAATCCGTATGAGCATGGTTTTTTTTATCCCCAAATTTATAACAAATTTAACTTAACATAATCTGATGAAGATGTATAGGTAGGAACTCTTTTCGATATGTGATGTTAATTTCTTGGTTTTTCCTATTTTCTCCTTGCTGAATCTGTATGAGCATGTTTTTTTTTTATCCCCAAATTTTTAATAAATTTAACTTAGCATAATTTGATGAAGATGTAGGTATAACATAATCTGATGAAGCAAACTTAACATAAAAATTGTTATTGCTAATTGTAATTCATATACGAAAAATATGTTTTTTTAATACATAATATTCTCATGCACAATCAAACATAATAATGTAGTATTATTGAGAGTTTGAGACAATATTTTTATATAGAATCAAATACAATAGTATATTATTCTTAAGAATTATATTCTTTTCTATCACTTTCCTCCTCCTGATTTCTACAAAGGCCCTTATGTATTTTCTTGTCATACCACATAAGCACTTAATAACGACGAGAAAATTTAAAGACGTTATAAACATCTTAAAAAGACACAAATGTGACAGTAAAAAACGACGAAAAAATGAAAACAAACTAAAGTTGGTAAAATTCTTAAAAACGTTGAGGAATTTGAAGGTGACATAAACATATGAAAATGATAAAACGTTGGAAAATAGAGAAATACATGAAATTGAAAAAAAAGAAAAAGGAAGAATGATTGGGGAATAATGTTAACGACACTAACTCTAATCTTATCTGTTGTGTATTATCTGGTAGGGCTGTACATAAACCCGAATAACTCACAAACTCAATCTACCACACCCTAACTTAACTTGAAAAAGGCAACTTATAGCATTATTTTTTATTTTTTGACCCACTAAATGTCTGGCCCGAGATGTTTGGGACGGTTTATAGGTTGGGTCTATAATAACCTGTATACCCTAATCCAACCCGCACAAATATGCCTGATAAGGAGCTTATGAGTGTGGACTGATAAGGATGGTTGCTGTTGCAGTGCTTGCTTTGGATGGATTTGAATTAAGTCTCTAATTTATGTTTGCTTTATGTTTGATGTTGGATGAACTACTTTGTTTCATGTTTGATGTTGGATTGAACTTTGAATTGCTATCTATTTGATGATGGACTAATCAGTATTATTTCTATTTGATGATGAACTTTGAATGTTGGATTTATGTTTGATTATCAGTATTATTTTTATTTGATGATCAATATTATTTGATGATGAACTTTGAATATTTGATTGAACTTTGATTCTTTGAATGATGAACCCGACCACCCAACCCACTCTACCCCGCCCCAACCCAACCCAAACATCATTGGGTTGTGAAATTTTTCTAACCTTGTTGGGGGCCAAATATGTGCAACCGACACCCTTTGAGGCGGGGCAATAAAAAATTCTACATCGCACCAATCCAACCCATGTACAGTCCTATTATCTGATATGGCATATGTGTTGTCATTTTTACATTGGTAGATGTTTAAAATATTATCACGTTAATTTATAATAAGAGATTGAATATATTAATATAAAAAAATGACAATTTACTAAAGGCAACAGACTGGAAAAACGTCAAAACATCTTAAAACAAGACATTTTGCTTGTAACATGATAAAAGCATTTAAGAAAGAGATAACATTAAGAAGAGCAATATTAAAAAAATAAATTAAAAAAAACAACAATTTGAGAATTGATGAAAACTTTGGAAACGACAGCCTTTGATAGTATAAACTAGTGGAATATCCATGCGATTGCACGGATATTAAATAATTTAATTAATACTGTGGGAAAAAATATAGAAAAGATATTTAAAAAGTGTAAAAAAACATGATACATAATAAAAATGTATGAAAATGGTATTTAAAAAGTATTAAGAAATATGATACATAATATAAACTTTATTTATAAGATGTTGTCAACTTCTAACACATATGTATATATTTATTTACATGTATATTTATGTAAACAATAATATACATACTTATTTATATAGATACACAGGTTTATTTATAAGTTTACTCTTTCCTGTTTTTTTTTTTTTTTTTGTTTCTTCTGAGCTGCAATGAAGAAAAATAGAAACAAAAAGATAGTTAATATTAGATTAGAATCAATATTAATAAATGTGTTTATATTTATTAAAATATTTAATATAATATACAACACATAATATTACCTCATTTATTTTCTTTTTCTTGAGGAACTTGAGGAAAAGGCAGATTTAAGTGGGACTAAAACAGATTCGATTGGCTGTGAAACTGTTGTAGTAGAAGGTAAATACAATTGAGGTTGATCGTCGTTAAAAGTTTTTAAAATAATTTTGTCAATAAAAGCACCTCCACTACGAAACTGTATGAGAAATTTTTTTGACATTCCTTTTATTTGTTCTGAAATTGGAGGAATCATGTAGCGATCAGTGTACCCTTTTTCGTTAGTAAGTGTAGAGCAAGCTTTGTTAATAAGGGATTGTACCGTTTTACCGAATATTACAGTGTTTTTCTCCCTGTGCATCTTCAATTTGAACATTTATTTTGTACCTGCCAAAAAAATTACATTACATTTATTATATTTGTGAATCGGGGAATTTTTTTTTAGTTAGTAGTAGAAGTTATTACCAAGTTAATGGCATTGTAGACAGATATCCATCAGTGTCACACCACCATGATCACAATGTTCCAAATTGTTGCACCTATCTATAACACTTTGTGCATGCATAATAAAACCATCCTTGATACGGATTGATGTCAATTATAGTTGCTCTAACTGTATATTTTGTTTTTTATAAAATAAATAAAAAAATACTTTAATTGATTATATATAAATAGTGTGTTTAATAAATTATAATTATAAAGTATTTACTCGATTCTGAAATGGATCCAATACTCGTAATTCTACTATGGTAATGCGGTTCATATTTTTTGCTCGTCTAATGATAGTGTTGGCTTTGTTGACGGTGCAATATAGTCTATAGTTTGAATAGAATGCCGAAACCTGTAGGAAAATAAATTTTATGGTTACAGAAAATATATGAATAAAAGAAAATAGAAAAAAATATATGTGAATAATACAATAAGTATTATTTGTTGTTATACCTTTGTGTAATTGTTTGTGTTTCAGCTATGTGTGAATCTAAATAATAGAAGGTACCAACGTGTTTGCTAAATAAAGACCTCCTGTAATAAAATGATATTAGCAACTACATTTATAAGAAATTTGAATAATATATTATAACATGAATAATAACTTTGGTATTGTTTTGTAGCCATGGCTGTAAAAGCAATTACAATTGGTTCAGTCATTGTTGTCACAACATTTTTATTGAAACGTTCTGCAGCCTCTCCCCACAGCGTTACACTTAATTGTTCTTCTCTGTGTACAAAAATGTACAACATAAGGATAATTATTTAAATATGTTTTAATCTTCTTAATTTATTGTCGTAATAATAATTAGAATTGTATTTACCTTATATTTTAAATTGTGAAACTTCTTCTCTTCACAATTCTGTCACTGATGGCTGATTCTTCAATGGAATGATATAAGTCGACCAACTACATCTGATAAAAATAATAAATTTTCAATCAAATAGTTTTAGCTATTATAAAATAATAAATATTTGAGTAGATACTATAAATAAAAAAAATACTAAAATAAATAAACCTGATAGAATATCGTTGACGTCGATTTTTGGAGGAAGTTGATCAAATTCGAAAAAATTAAATTTTTGTCGAGGAATTTCAGGCATATCTTTAGGAACATGTTTAAAAACAGTTGCCCTAACAATATGTAGTATTGCTATGTGTGGAACAACTTTGTATCTTGATTTGTTCCTATCGATGAAAAAGTTATTAATCTCATATATACTGCCTTCTTCAATTATTTGGCTGATGTAGTCAGCATCTCTTGATCGGATAACTGCATGTATTGCTTCGTGCTGTCAAAGTGTGAATTAAATTCTTATTTGTTGTATAGTAAG